GACCCGTGTGCAAAGTTTCAAGAGTTTTTGAGCATGTTAAGGGCCCCAAAAGTGCCCAAATATCGTATAAATAACAATAATAATAAATATAGCTGCGAGCAGCGATTGCGGCCCAAGCCGGGTGCACCGCAACCCCGATGCCTTTAGTTACCCAAAGGCACCGGGATGGTGGTACCGCCGGCTTGGCCCTTTTATCGCTGCTCACAGCTATATTTATATTTAATATAAAGCCGGTGGCACCGCCACCTTGGTGCCTTTAGGGTTATTCTGTATGACGTGCAAAAACGTAACCCCCGCTTTGACTGTCGAAAAGAAGTGTATTGTAGAGCTTTGCATCAATGCGGACTCGATGCGCTGTGCGCTGTAACTCCATGTGGCTTTAAGCGCATCATTCTCCACTCGGGATGCGCATAAGCGTTTTGTGCCACACTGTACTGAGCCTTTCATATCATAATGCAGTGACGCAATGACAGATTATTAAGCCTTTCTTGTTCTGTTCCATCTATTATGTGTTGATAAAAGATAGGACAGAGCACTAAAAACCTCAAACAAAGCACTAAAAACTTAAGCTGTTTGCTGTGTAGTCTGAGAATGAGCTGTTTGATTTGCACCCTCTTCCTCTTCACTGTCCTCCATAAAAACCAGCTATTCAGGTCCATGTTGTTCTAGAAAGTTTGTATGTTGCTGCCTCAATTAACATCTCTGCTATACATTTAAATAATTATCTAAAATAATTTATCTTTTTGATTTTTGTTATCTTGTTTTTCATGAATGTATTTACAACAATACAAAGAGCAATGTGTATTTACCACTAATATAGTTTGTAATGGCTTTTTTGTCATAGATTATAATCATATATTTTTTTGATTTGTTATTTATCTTTATAATGAAGTTGTCTGTATTAAGTAGATTGTGTTTAACACACACAAGAGTGATTTATCAGTTCAACACATAGTTATAGAAATTCTACTTTATCTAAAAAAAAACCTGCACTTTATACACACACACACACACACACACACACACATACATAAATACATGTAAATAAAAATACCAAAAAGAAACATCAAATGTGTTTTTAGTCAGAGTATTATTTTATACAGAAACAAAATATTTGTAATTCAGATAAGAATGAAGTTAGTGTTTTAAAATCTTAAGGAAAACAAATTATATTGAAATATAGCACAAGAATTTTAAATTCATTCAGCTTCAATTACAAAATACAATCTTACTTTTATTTAAAGCAAACTATACATTTAAAAGATGGGGGTTATATGCCTATTTTGTCATTTAAAAAAATACAAAATTGTTATGCAAAAAGACAAGGACTTAGAGACAAGGACTTATAGGAAAAATCGCAGCCAGCCACACTGTGTGGTTCAAACATACATAAACACAGACAACAGCCCTCCCCTCCCCCCCACACATACACACAAACACAGACAACAGCCCTCCCCTCCCCACACAGACACACACACCACAGAGAGAGAGAGAGAGAGAGAGAGTGAGTGAATCGCAGGGGAAATAAATCCATTCAAACTACAATATCTGACTTTCTGTTGCTCAGAGCGAATGACTTTAAATTGGAAAGTTGATCGGCTTGACGAGAACAATATACGTGGAAAGTTTTGTAACTGTAGGTAAAATGAGCAAAGTTATAACACATTTTATGTGTCCTTTTTTAGTCATAAAATTCATTTCCTCGCCACGGCCAGACCGTTCGAGATATCAAAAATCCGTCCGGAATTGAGCATCCTCAATGTCTTGACTTCATGCACACCGAGTTTGGTTGTGATTGGTAAACACATGCGTTGTAATTTGATGTATTTCTCCTAGGAGAATTATTCAAACAACCCATAATTTCCCAACTTCCTTCTTAAAACTTAGAGCACGAAAGTTGTTTGGCCTGATGTGATCTTTATTGTACCGAGTTTCATATTAATTCATGCAAGTGTGTTTGATTTATGGACAAATTTTCGAATCCCAGTCCAGGGGGCGCTGTCGAGCCGCCCTGCCACGCCCGGTTACCAGCTTCAGCCCGGCCCTGATGGCCATGGGTTCTGACCCGTGTGCAAAGTTTCAAGAGTTTTAGAGGGTTAAGGCCCCCGAAAATGCCAGAGAAGTCGCACACAGCAAATAAAGGGTTAAAATTAACCTGACAGGCGCCCCTCCTCTCACTCACACAGAGAGACACTGAGAGACTGGCAAAATTCTGAGATTTTCTCTACATTCAAACAAACATATCTGACTTTCTGTGGGTCCTAGCTAATGAGTGTCAATTAGAAAGTTGTCCGGCTCGAGGAGTACAATATACATACCGATTTTTGTAACTGTAGATAAAACTAACAACCCCACTTTTGTCAAAAGGTGGCGCTACTGAGCCCTCACCACGCCCGTTTCTGAAATTTGCACATGTCTACTGGCTAATAAATGTGATGTGTCTGTCGAGTTTCATGCAATTGAAGCATGCTAAGAGTCTCAAAAGCATCCTAAAAGAATGGTAAAGTTTGATGCGTTGCCACGGCAACAGTTTCAAAGATATCAAGAATCCATTTACAGGTCTTCATCTGCCATGTATTTGCATTATACAGATGAAGTTTGAAGCAAATCGAGTTAAAATTAAAGGGTGATTTCAAAGCATTTTGAAATGACACACTTCCTGCTGCCAGTTGGTGGCGCTATAACTTTGACTCACAATAGTCACATCCATGTGATCGTCCTCTTACAGCGAACACACTGCTGAAGTTTCATCAAGATCGGTTGATGTATGCTGAAGTTATGATACACTTCCTGTTTCACGTTTCTCGCCATATTTTGTTTCCTCGCCACGGCCAAACCGTTCGAGATATCAAAAATCCCCTCGCAAACTTTCATCCTCAATGTCTTGACTTCACGCTGACCGAGTTTCGTCGAATTTGGATCAAAGCTCTAGGAGGAGTATTAAAAATTCCATTGCGAGTGTTTTACGAACAACCCTAAATAGCCGACTTCCTGTTGGGCTGGGGTAAAAAGTAAAAGCGCGAGGTATAGATGAAACGATGAGATCAACATGTGTACCGAGTTTCATATTATTACATGCAAGCGTGTTTGATTTATGGACCAAGTGTTCGGACCCCGTTCCAGGGGGCGCTGTCGAGCCCCCTGCCACGCCCGGGTACCAGCTTCAGCCCGGCCCTGATGGCCGCGGGTTCTGACCCGTGTGCAAAGTTTCAAGAGTTTTCGAGCATGTTAAGGGCCCCAAAAGTGCCCGAATAGTCGTTAGAAAAATAAAAAAAAAAAAAAAAAATAATCGGAAGGAAAACAATAGGGCCTTCGCCCTTCAGGGCTTGGGCCCTAATAATCGTTAGAAAACAATAGGCCTTCGCCCTTTCAGGGCTTGGGCCCTAATAATAATCCTAAGGAAAACAATATCGCCCTTTCAGGGCTTGGGCCCAATAAATATAGCTGCGAGCAGCGATGGCGGCCCAAGCCGGTGGCACCGCAACCCCGGTTCCTTTAGTTACCTAAATGCACCCGGGTGGCGGTGCCGAAGGCTTTGGCCCTTTTATGATTAAATGTTAAAACGGCTTGCCATACTCTGTCATTTCGACTAGTCACAATTATGTTACAGATATCTTAAATGATAATACAAACTATCCAAAATGTAATTACGAATAGACAGAAAGACGTTGTTGATATCTACAATGTTAATTCCGGACAGGCAAACTTAGCTTTTAAATGTTAAAAGGGCTTGCCATACAGGGACGTAGGCTCAGAGAGAGGCTCACCATATTCAAACCAAAATATCTGACTTCCTCTTGGTCCGAGCTAATGACTATGTATTAGAAAGTTGTCCGGCTTGAGGAGTACAATGTATATAGCGATTTTTGTAACTGTAGATAAAACTAACAACCCCACTTTTGTCAAAAGGTGGCGCTATTTAGTCCTTGCACTATGCCCGTTTCTGAAACTTTGCACATGTCTACTGGCTAATAAATGTGATGTATCTGTTGAGTTTCAAGCAATTTCAATTTCAATTTCAATTTGACTGTTGAAAAGAAGTGCGCCGATTAGATACTCAGGATCGGTATCGGCTCTGACACTGCCATCTTTGACGAGGCTGATTCAAATTCTATATTGTGCATATACTATTCTATGTTAGGCACAAAGGCACAAAAACTTTCTAAAATACCATAAAGTTTTTGTGTACTGTATTATTAGTGTTCTGAAGCTATTATGTGATATAGAAATTAATATTTAAGCCATTAAATTCAAGAACACAAACTTTTCCCTCTCTGCGCCTGTCAGTCATTCTCCATTCAGCATTCAAACAGCACGTCACATTCGGTTACAGTCAATGATGAAACGATCTTCAAGATGATTGAATGTTAATCCTATTATACTGGATCTTTAAGATAAAGGTCTAAAGGTCTATATTTTCAAATGAAGAAACTTTTTCTTGCTGGACTTTATTGCTGTAACTTAACCGTGTTACTTTCTACCGGGTGTCGGACGCTGTCGGTTAGATCACAACACTAGAGTCAGAGCACTATAATTGTTCTTCACGCACACAGTAACTGAAATTTAAAACCTTTAAAAGAAAAGGCTCAATAAACTATTGCATAGATAGATAATGTATAATACACTGTTCATAAATATGTATTTCCTTTGTGCTTTGAACTTTTCAATACGGACTCACTGCGCTGTAACTTCATGTGGCTTCAAGCACATCATTCTCCGCTCGGGATGCACATAAGTGCTTTGTGCTGCACCGTATTGGAGCCGTAATATCATAATGCAGTGACGTAATGACAGATTATTAATTGCCTTTCAATTATATGTTGCTGCGTCATTAAACATCTGTCCTATGCATTTCAAACATTTATAGCAGCCATGGCTATATTTTTTTATGATTTTTGTTATCTTGTTTTTCATGAATGTATTTTTCAAAAATAAGAGCAATGTGTATTATCTATTATTAATATGGTTTATAATAGCATTTTTGTCATAGATTATGACAAAGTAATCATATGATCCACCAGCGAGGAACCAGCAGAACAGAGTGAACATTCATTCTGTTTAGTTCAATCCTACTTAATAGGAATTTATTTAAAATGCTCGCTCTACTCCACACCATTAATGTCTTGTGCGGACATCCGTATTTCGACTTTCGGTTTTAAGTAAGCGATTTAAAAGCTCCCAAGTCCCAGCGGAGTCACACGTTGATTAACCGGTGGGAATATACACAATAGGCCTACCTGATATTGAACACAAGAGGGCAGTATAGCACTACGTATGACTCAGATTATTATTTTTTTATGAATTTTACAACAATTCTGGCTGTTTTTGAACGTAAACATAATTCTTAAATGAAAAAAAAGGAAAAATTGGGGAAGTTATAATATTTGTATAATTTAATTTAGAAACAAATGATGTATAATTACATTTTTAGAAGATATTAGGCTTTTAGTGTTTACTTTTTTGACATTACTTTAATCTTTTGCCATAGTTGCACATGTCTACTGGCTAATAAATGTGATGTATCTGTTGAGTTTCAAGCAATTTCAAGCATGCTAAGAGTCCCAAAAGCATCAAAAAAGAATGTTAAAGTTTGATTCGTTGCCACGGCAACAGTATCAAATATATCAAAATTCATTCACAGGTCTACATCTGCCGTGTATTTACATTATACAGATGAAGTTTGAAGCAAATCGGTTAAAAATAAGAGAGTGGTTTCAAAGCATTTTGAAAGTGACACACTTCCTGCTGCCAGTTGGTGGCGCTATAATTTTGACTCACAATAGTCACATCCATGTGATCGGTCTCTTACAGCGAAAACACTGCTGAAGTTTCATCAAGATCAGTTAATGTATGCTGAAGTTATAACACACATCCTGTTTCACGTTTCTCGCCATAATTCCGTTTCCTCGCCACGGCCAAACCGTTCGAGATATAAAAAATCCCCTCTCAAACTTTCATCCTCAATGCCTTGACTTCATGCTGACCGAGTTTCGTGCCGTGAGTTTGAATTCTCTAGGAGTAGTACTTCAAATTCCATTGCGAGTGTTTTATGAACAACCCTAAATAACCGACTTCCTGTTGGGCTGGGGTAAAAAGTAATAGTATGAGGTATATATGAACGATGAGATCTATATGTGCACCGAGTTTCATATTATTACATGCAAGCGTGTTTGATTTATGGACCAAGTTTTCGGACCCCGTTCCAGGGGGCGCTGTCTAGCCCCCCTGCCACGCCCGGGTACCATCTTCAGCCCGGCCCTGATGGCCGCGGGTTCTGACCCGTGTGCTAAGTTTCAAGAGTTTTTGAGCATGTTAAGGGCCCCAAAAGTGCCCGAATAGTCGTATAAATAATAATAATAATAATAATAATCCTAAGGAAAACAATAGGGCCTTCGCCCTTTCAGGGCTTGGGCCCTAATAATCGGAAGGAAAACAATAGGGCCTTCGCCCTTTCAGGGCTTGGGCCCTAATAATCCTAAGGAAAACAATAGGGCCTTCGCCCTTTCAGGGCTTGGGCCCTAATAAATAAAAACATTTATTCATCAAGGATGAATAAACTGATCAAAGTTACAGTAAAGACATTTATAATGTTAGAAAATATTTTTTTTAAATAAATGCTGTTCTTTTTAACTTTCTATTCATCAAACACAACTACACAACTGTTTTCAACATTGATAATAATAATAATGAATGTTTCTTGATCATTAAATCATCATATTAGAGTGATTTCTGAAGGATCATCATGTGACACTGGAGTAAAACTGAAAATGATGCTGAAAAATTAGCTTTAATCACAGGGAGAAATTAGGCTACACTTTACAACATTAGAAAAAATCTTAGTGATATATATGCTCTAATTAAATGTTACACTTATTTCATTGTATGCAGAAGAGAACATGCATTTCGCGAGTTTTACTTGCACGTTTAAAATGTTAGATGACATATTTGTGCAAACCATTGTGAAGTAAAGCTTTCTTTGGTTCTTTCGAGCTATGAACCGCGTGTACACGTGACGTCACAAGGGGCGGGCCAATGCGAACTGATGCCTTTATGTCTGATCTGATGCCTTTTAGTCTGAGGCTGTTTTGCCTGATGCCTTTTAGTCTGAGGCTGTTTTGCCTGATGCCTTTTAGTCTGAGGCTGTTTTGCCTGATGCCTTTTAGTCTGAGGCTGTTTTGCCTGATGCCTTTTAGTCTGAGGCTGTTTTGTCTTGATGCCTTTTAGTCTGAGGCTGTTTTGCCTGATGCCTTTTTGTCTGAGGCTGTTTTGTCTGATGCCTTTTAGTCTGAGGCTGTTTTGCCTGATGCCTTTTTGTCTGAGGCTGTTTTGCCTGGTGCCTTTTAGTCTGAGGCTGTTTTGCCTGATGCCTTTTTGTCTGAGGCTGTTTTGTCTGATGCCTTTTAGTCTGAGGCTGTTTTGCCTGATGCCTTTTTGTCTGAGGCTGTTTTGTCTGATGCCTAAATGTACGAGACCTGACACCTGACATTGTTTTTCCTGAGACCTGAAGCTTTTCAGTCTGAGGCGTGATGCCGTTTTGTCCAATAGCTGAAGCCTTTTAGTCTGAGGCATGATGCCTTGTCTTCATATGTCTGAGGTCTGAGGATGTCCTAAAATGTACACCGTACTGATTGCTCAGACGCACATCATGTTGTGATATTTGTCTCCGTCTCCTTCCCGCTATTCTTGTCACGGATTCATTGACGCGCCCCTTCGCTTTACCAATGTGTTTAATGTGTGGCAAATTTACTGGTCGCATAGGTGCGACTGGATGTAAAATTCAGTCGCACCCTCTCAAATTTTGGTTGCAAAATGCGACCATTTGGTCGCAGTCTGGAGCCCTGGAAGGAGATTAAGATTGTTAAATTTTAACATTATTACTTTTTACTCTGCAGGTTCAAAAGGTAACAGGCCACTGGACACATTTCAGATAACGTTCCCCTTAAGAACAAATTACATGTATGCCAAAGTGAAAAAAAGTCTACCAGAAATGTATGCCTTCTCTTTCTGCTTGTGGATAAAATCCAACGCATCACCCGGGGTAGGAACACCCTTCTCCTATGCTGTTCCTGGACAAGCCAATGAGCTTGTTCTCATAGAATGGGGGAACAATCCAATGGAGATTCTCATAAATGATAAGGTACCGTGTCAGAAACAATAATGCAATTATATAATGGCTGATTGATTACATGATTGTTAGGGGCTGTATTATACAGTAGATATATGTCAATATGTATCTCTGAGTTTGCTAAGTCATTTGGTCTTTTAAAAAAGAAGAGCCATTTGAGTAATCTACAGTATAACTTTACAGGTTGCAAAATTACCTTTCATTATCAACGATGGTAAATGGCATCACATCTGCATAACATGGACTACTCGTGATGGAGTATGGGAAGCATTTCAGGATGGTGTTCTGCGTGGAACTGGAGAAAATCTGGCACCCTACCATCCAATCAAACCCAATGGTGTGCTGGTCTTAGGTCAGGAGCAGGTAAGACTATTAGTCCTATTAGGCTTAATTTATGTAGAAAAAGAAAATTGCCTGCTGTTTAGCTACCTAATATTTAATTTGGTTGTTTTTTGTACTTGCAGGACACACTTGGTGGAGGTTTCGATGCAACCCAAGCCTTTGTAGGTGAACTGGCGAACTTCAGTATATGGGATAGAAAATTGACAGGTGGTGAAATTTACAACCTGGCAACCTGCAACAACAGAACACAAGCTGGCAATGTGTTATCATGGTTGGAGTGTAATATCGATGTGTTCGGTGGAGCCACTAAATGGACTTTTGAGCCCTGCCGTCAACTCAACTGAACTGCAGAGGGGCCAGATCCAATGTTTCTAGTTTTTGTCTTTCTTGTCCTTAGTTTGATGTTCGTGAAAAAAAAAAAAAAAAAAAAAAAAAACAGTTCTTGATATAACATTCAAAGGTATGCATACATCTGGGGTTTCTATGAATACCTAAATATTTCTGTGCAAAACTAGAATATTTTATTTGTCTTAATGAAATAGTTTCCTGTTGATTGTCTTGCCAATCTCAAAGCGACAGTTTTACTCCAGGTTAGCATTAGCAATATTTTTGCTGCTTTTTTTTTTTGCATGTGGACACAGTTTGCTTATTTTTTCATTCTTATATTTATTTAAAGGGGCCAACAACTGAAGAACTGTCTCTTTGCAGCATTTTGGGCAGTAATGCAACAGTGCATCATAATATAACTCTTGTGTTTTTTCCCAATGATCACACATTGCTGATAACCCAATCACAAATCGTCACCATTTAAAATGACGGTTTATTTAATATCGGTACCCCATTCCCACCGGATCTTGCACTGTCATGGACTTGAAAATAGGATGGGAGAAAATTATTTATTTACTTGGAAAAAGAAGTTTAGAAGGATGGCACTTGCTGCATTTGATTCCAGTGATCTCACTGATGTTTCTGTAAGAATGTCATTTAGTTGCCAACATGCTTACAGCCTGAGTGCCTTGAATTGATGTATCAGTTCAGCACACACTTTTTGTTTGCTTACTCTTTGTGTTATGCAATAACATTTAGCTTTTATTGATGCATTACTGTTTTCTGAAGTGTGTTCAACAGCGATAGTTAAGGCTCTGGTGTGTTTTACTCTGTTCTAGGAATGTCATTTGTACATTAACAGCATGAATTATCAAATGCTCCAACATCAATGCTGACATCTGCTTCGATTGTTTTGGGTTGGGTTTTTTACTGTATTGATATGCGAAAAGCATGGCACTACTGAACGATGATAAATATATAATTTTTGTAATAAAATTGTGATATACAGTATATATAAATAGCATTTTACTTCTGCAGTCATTACTCAATTACTGTTCAGTAGAGAGTTGGGATAAAGTATAAATCAATAGATAAACAGATATGTGACCCTGGACCACAAAACCAGTCAAATTGTCACGGTGTGGCTCTGGCAGAGGAACGAGGAGACCGGAGTATCGGGAAGAACAAGGGTATATAATATATATATATATATATATAAACAGGCAGGCAGACAGGAACAAAGGCGCCACACGGGCTAACACCAAACATCAATAGACAAAGACAGAGTAAAACTGAGGGAACTAAATACACAGATGAATCAGACATAATGAGGTGCAAACAGGTGAAACAGATGAAACAGGACACTGAACGGGAGGCTGATGAGGGAGTGAGTTCAGGTGTGCAGACGAGAGGATCATGGGAAGTGTAGTGCAGGAGACGCGGACAGGATGGTGCAGACGCAGACTGTGACAGAACTCCCCCCTCCCGGGAGGCGTGACCTCACGCCGCAGAACAGGGGAAGGAGGGGGGACGATCTGAGGGCTGGGCGGGGCGTGGCCAGGGCGGAGCAGGCTGAGGGCGTGGCCAGGGCGGAGCAGGCTGAGGGCGTGGCCAGGGCGGAGCAGGCTGAGGGCGAGACCAGGGCGGAGCAGGCTGAGGGCGAGACCAGGGCGGAGCAGGCTGAGGGCGAGACCAGGGCGGAGCAGGCTGAGGGCGTGGCCAGGGCGGCGCAGGCTGAGGGCGTGGCCAGGGCGGAGCAGGCTGAGGGCGAGACCAGGGCGGAGCCGATGGAGGGAGGACCCCTGGTGGAGCCGATGGAAAAGGGGCTGACGACACCAGGGGGCCGACTGACAGGGGCGGAGCAGATGGGAGAGGAGACCAAGGTGAAGCTGAGGGACTGACGACGTGTGGTGCTGATGAGGGACTGAGGGAACATGGTGACCCCGCAGGCTCAGGTGACCAAAGTGATGACAGGGGCACAGAGGGACACGGTGAGGCCAGAGGGAGTGAGGACTGACGGGTGACTGGAGGGAGTGAGGAGTCCGGCAGAACCGGGGGGGGTGACATGACGGGGCGGAGCCAAGGGAAGGAAGTCCAAAGGTGAAGGGAGGATGACGAGGGAGCGAAGGGAATCCGGAGGGTCGAAGGAGCCTGGCCGAGGTGGTGGACTGAGGGGCCATGGAGGAGCTGAGGGAGGTAAGAGCCACGGGGGAGCAGATGGGACAATGGGCCGAGGAAGTGTCCAGGAGGAGGAGGCGGGAGGCGAAAACCGGGGATCCCACGACCAGGCTGGGTCAGGGGAGCTGGCAGACGGAAGGGCTGACGGCTGCGTGACGGGAGGAGGTGGGAGAGGGAGGCTGGGTGGGATCCTGGTCTCGGGCTCTGGCTGGACGGTCTCGGGCTCTGGCTGGACGGTCTCGGGCTCTGGCTGGACGGTCTCGGGCTCTGGCTGGACGGTCTCGGGCTCTGGCTGGACGGTCTCGGGCTCTGGCTGGACGGTCTCTGGCGCGGGCTGGACGGTCTCTGGCGCGGGCTGGACGGTCTCTGGCGCGGGCTGGACGGTCTCTGGCGCTGGCTGGACGGTCTGGACGGTCTCTGGCTGGATGGGGCTGGGCGGAACCAGCGATGAGGAAAGCTCGGGCTGGACGGAGCTGGGCGGAACCAGCGATGAGGAGATCTCGGGCGTTGGAGTGGGGCTGGTGCCGTCGTCAACGGTGAAAGAAGATCCACATGACACCAGCACCCACTCCACATAGGCAGCGAAGTTCCACAGAGGACCCTCCCCAGACAACAGCTCTCTGGTGGCGGTGTTGAGGCCAGCATATAGGAAGCTGCAGAGGCTGTCGTCCGGGAAAGATGTGGCTGGGACGAGGGAGAGGAAATCCGCCAAGTGGTCCTCGAGTGAGCGGTTCCCCTGCTCTAAGCAGAGCAGATTGACTGCAGCAACGAGGTCCATCTCCTTTTCTTTTGCGGTCGGTCGTACTGTCACGGTGTGGCTCTGGCAGAGGAACGAGGAGACCGGAGTATCGGGAAGAACAAGGGTTTTAATATATATATATATATATATATATATATATATATATAAACAGGCAGGCAGACAGGAACAAAGGCGCCACACGGGCTAACACCAAACATCAATAGACAACGGCCGACAAAGACAGAGTAAAAATGAGGGAACTAAATACACAGATGAATCAGACATAATGAGGTGCAAACAGGTGAAACAGATGAAACAGGACGCTGAACGGGAGGCTGATGAGGGAGTGAGTTCAGGTGTGCAGACGAGAGGATCATGGGAAGTGTAGTGCAGGAGACGCAGACAGGATGGTGCAGACGCAGACTCTGACACAAATGGGTCAATATTTTATAATTGAGATTTATACATGAATAAAAGCATATTTATTCAGCTTGATGAGATGATGTAGTGTTTGTTAGGATAGAACCATATTTGGCCGAGATACAACTATTTGAAAATTTGAAATCTGAGGGTGCAAAAAAATCAAAACATTGAGAAAATTGCCTTTTAAAGTTGTCCATTTATGTTCACAATTGTGCTGCATTTACTCATAAGCATACATGTTTTATATATTTATGTTAGGAAAATGACAAAATATAATAATTTATTTTGACCCGTACAATGTATTATTGACGTATGTGACCCTGAATCACAAAAGTCGCACAATGATACCCGTGACTGGTTTTGTGATTCAGGGTCACATATGTCTTAAATTTTATATAAATGAGCTTGATACCCTAAAATCTATCATTCTCTCATCATCTTACTCACTCTAAGTTTGTGCACTTGGGACATTTGTTTTTGTTTACACTGCCCTCTCTATCTTGGTTTTGTGTATACAGTAAAAGACTGCATTGCTGTAAAAGAAATGGTTATAATTTCGAACATGCATGTTCAATCAGTGTGCACAGGGCATTTTGTGCTTCTGTAGGCATTATGAAAGACAAAATTATGATTAAGGTAAAATAGAGGTAATAACTGCAAAACAGAATGAAAATCTTATATAACCAAACCAATTAATAGTTTATCAAACTATTGTGATTTTTTTATTTTTTTTATTTTCTGAAACATTTTAGAGATGCAGTGTATGTGGCTCACTTATGTCATCAAGAAATAGGAAAAATATTAAAGGTGCAAAAATGTTTTGTTTAGTTCAAATTTTGCTGGCTGATATGGCAGTCGTATTTAGATTCATATTGACACCTAGTGGTCTCAATGTAGCATCACACAAAGCAACAATTAATGATGCCAATATAATCTGCTAATATGGTTAAGCGTATTTGGCTTGCAGTCCGCAGTGGAGGGGCTCGAGGAAGCAGCTTCAACTCAAGCTTAGATATACCCTCCAGTGTGACTACAAATGCTTGGATGAGGAGTATGGTAGCAAGATGCCTAAATTAAGTTAGTGGAGTTGGGGAGGTGGAGGGATGCCAAAACAGCTGATGCCAGAAGAAGGTGAGCGGCTGCTTATATGCAACTGCAGTTAATTGAAAGATTAAATGGGTTCACTCCTCCGAAATTATGCTTGTGAACTTCACTTATATCCCAGTGTAGAGACTCTGTTCGGGTCTGATCAAGGGGGAATATGCATATCATAATTAATAATTGTTTTACCATGGTCTGGGTGAATACTCGATTCTGAAAAAGTGATAGAGGACACCTAGTAAAGTAGTTCTGGTGAAACTGCCTGTTTACCATTCGAAATGAATAAATAAATGCGCTGCCCACAACAGCTGTGAGTAACCGGCAGTTAAAGTATCCGTTAACAATTTGCTCTATCAAAACAAACATCTAACGTTAGTTAGATATTCCATAGCCTACTAATACAACAATGAGCGACTTCGTTATTTCTTTTAACATTTATGGAGAATATGACAACTTTGACGACTGGGATGCTGCTGAAGAAAGAAAAAATGTAAATAAAATGGAGAAACGTCGCAAAGAAAATTACACTGCTGCTGCTCTGAATGAGACCCTTTTACGCAGCAGTCCAGACAACCAAGTCAGGAGGAGAGTACA